TACTTAATTTTTATAGATAGATAGATATACACATACATACATAAATTTTATACACATAAGTAATATGGGAGCTCTGGTGGCGTAGTGCCTAAGGCATGTGGCTGCTAATCAGAAGGCTGCTAATCAAACCCACCAGCCACTCCTCAGAAGGAAGGCTGGGCAATCTACTTCCATAGTGATACCACCTCGAAAACCCGAGGAGGGGTCACTATGAGTCAGATCTGACTCGATGGCAGTGAGTTTGGTTTTTTGGTTTGGAAGTAATATGGTATGTACACACACACACACACACACACATTTTTATATACATAATGCATGCTTTCTATGTTTATTTGCCAACTGATCCCAATCCGCCACCACCCTACTTATTTTTGTAACTGCCACTATGCCAATATTTATGTGTTATTTAAAAAAAAAATTAGGATAGGGAGTCTATAAAAATACCTCCTGGGGAGATAGAGCAGTTGGTATACAAATATAAAAGGTACGTGTTATCTATGTGAAAATAACATACATAGATATATATGGAATTCTTTACACATTTCATGTATGAACTCATATGCGTTACGGCTATATAACCAAACCAAACCTAACCTGGTGCCATCAAGTCAATTCTGACTCACAGCAACCCCCCTTGGGTTTCCAAGGCTGTACATCTTCATGGAAGTAGATTAGCCTCTTCTGTCTCCTGTGAAGCAGGTGGTGGGTTTGAACCACCAACTTTTGGTTAGCAGCCAAATGCTTTACCCACTATGCCACCAGAGCTCCTTTAAAGCAATATAGTCTCATGTTACTTATTTAATTTTATTGTGATAAAATATGTACTAAAAAAGTTTGTCATTTTAATCATTTTTAAATGTACAATTGACTGACATTAATTATATTCATCCATGTTGTGATAACATCATCACTATTTCTAAAAGATTTTCATCATTGATCCATTTTGAGTTAATTTTCAAATATGGTGTGAAGTAGTGGTCCAAGTTCATTCTTTTTCATGTGGAAATCCAGTTGTCCAAGCACCATTTATTTAGAGACTATCTATTCTTTCCCCCACTATGGTACAAAAATGGCATGGGGCTGACATCCTCTGACCTCCTCTGCCTTCACAAGGGACAGAGAGACTCACCATTAGTGGTCCAAGGCTGCTTCCTATGATTCCAGACAGGCTGCCACCCTCCAGCCTTTTTATTCATTCTGATACTGGCCGTCCCGCTCATGGCACTCACTAATTCCCTGCTGGGTTTAATAATTTGTTGCAATGGCCACAGAAAACTCAGACAATACTCATGATTATGGGGTTTATTTGGTAGGCAACAGGTTACAATTCTTCAATCAACACAGCCTTCCTTCAGCCACGCTCTCAAGTACACCTCTCTTTGACCCTTAGCCTCTCAGCCTGGCCTCTGCCTGCTCAGGCAAGCATTACAGAGCTCTCTTAGCTTGCCAACAGATGCACCCCACTACACTACCAAGTCTCCTGCACTCAGTTTTCTCTATCCATGGGCCAGTAAGCCTGCCACTGTCTCATGCTGGTCTCTCAGTTCTGCTGTCTCTGCTGCCTTGGTATTGGTGCAGGGATCTAGGTAGGATGTGCTTCACTCCCAGCTCTTCTCTGTCTTGATGGTATTGAGATCTCCCCTTCTATCTTTGGGAGGACTCATTTTAAGCCTAGAGGGATGGCAAAACTGACCAATCCTCCATTGGGTTCTATACATCTTATTTGCACAATACAACCCTCACTAGGGTGCCATGTATCTTATTTACATTGTTAGCAAACTATCCAGGAGCTCTGGTGGCGCAGTGCCTAAGGCACTTGAGTGCTAACCAGAAGGCTGGTGGTTCAAAACGACCAGCCACTCCTCAGAAGGAAGGCCAGGCAATCTATTTCCAAGGTGATACTGCATCAGAAAGCCAAGGAGGGGTCCCTATGAGTCGGGTCCGACTTGACGGCAGTGAGTTTGGTTTGTTTTCGTTTAGCAAACTATCCAATCCCCTTAGTGGCTACAAGCACCTCACATTTGCACAGTCCCACTCAGTCATCTGGCGGAAATCATAAAGACCAAGGCTAGAAGACCCCTATGAAGTAATTCATCATACAACAAATGGACTTGACAATCTTGGCAATAAACTGTGCATAGATATATAAGTTTATTTTTGAACTCTCACTTCTATTCCACTGGCCTATGAGCCTATCCGAATACCAGTACTACACTGTTCTGATTACGGTAGCTTTATATTTTGTTTTCAAATCAGGTAGTGCAAGTTTTCCTACTTGGTTCTTTTTCAAGATTGTTTTAGGTATTTGGGACCTCTTACAATTCCATATGATTCTGAGAAACAGCTTTAGAATTTTGATTGAGACTGCATTGAATCTGTAGATCACTTTGGGTAGTAGTGACATCTTAACAATATTAAGTCTTACAATCCATGTTTTTCAACTTATTTGTTGTTGTTGTTGTTGTTATGTGCCGTCGAGTCGGCCCCGACTCATAGCGACCCCTCCTTGGGTTTCCGAGGCAGTATCACTACGGAAGTAGGATTGCCCAACCTTCCTTCCGAGGAGTGGCTGGTGGGTTTGAACCACCAGCTGTCTGGTTAGCAGGCAAGTGACTTAGCCACTATGCTACCAGAGCTCCCTCAACTTATTTAGGTGTTTTTAAATCTCCTTCAGCAATGTTTGGTAGTTTTCAGTGTATATGTCTTTTACTTCCCTGGTTAAATTTATCCCAAGGCATTTATTCTTTTAGATGCTATTGTAAATGGAATTATTTTCTTGATTTCCTTTTCAGATTGTTCACTGCTAGTGTAAAGAAATCCAACCAATTTCAGCATGTTAATTTTGTACTCTGCCATCTTGCAGAATTCATTTATTATCTCTAATAGCTTTCTTGTGGATTCTTTGGGATTTCTGATATATAAGATCATGTTCTCTCCAAACAAAAATGATTTTACTTCTTCCTTCTGATTTGGGAGCTTTTTTTTTTCCTTGCCCAATTTCTCTGCCTAGAACTTCCAGAACAATGCTGAACAGCAGTGGTTGAAATGGGTATTCTTGTCTTGTTCCTGATCTTAGGGGAGAAGTGTTCATTCAGTCTTTCATCATTTAGTATAATATTACCCATAGGTTTTTCATAAATGGCCTTTATTCTATTGAGTAATGTCCCTTTTATTCCTATTTTGCTGAGTGTCTCTATCATTTAAGGGATATGCAATTTATTTCTTACATAAATTTTGCCTCCCAAACTACAATGTTTTTATTACTATAGCTCAAAATATCTTTTCATTTCTAGTATATCAAGTTCCTCCTCATTCTTCATCTTTTCCAAACATTTCTAAGTCATTCTCATTCACCACACCCTGCAATGTTTCTGAAGACAGGCCTGGCAAGGTTACAGCCTTGAAAACCCTACGGAGCACATCCATCCTGCACCCATCAGGTCACCACAAGTCAGAATCAACTTGATGGCAACTACAACAGCAGCTTTTTTTTTTTCAGTTGAAATTTCTGAATCATTTGGTCCTGTTCCAAATAATGTGTCTGTGTTTTATTTATAAATACATTTTAGAATTATTTTTATGTGAAACTAACAAAATATGGCTATTATTTTTAATGACAACTACTTGCAAGATTGATGAAAGAAAATTATTCTCTATAACCACAGCCTAGTAAGATGCTATTTATCCACCAGAAGATTTCCTTCATCACAGTAGTAAGAGAAAATGAAAGTGTTTTTAACATTGCTTCATTAGTTTGTAAGATTATGCTGGTAAAAGAATAGTGAGAAAGAAACTTTCAAATACTGATGGAGACCTTCTGGAAAACAATTAGGCCATGCATTGGAAAACTCCTAATACAAAAGTTTTCTAGCCTTTGAATCAATAATTTCACTGCTAAGAATCTATCCTAAGAAAATAACCAGAGAGAGAGAGGTCAGTATTTGTGTACAAGAAATTCATTGTTACATTGTTTAGCAAAAAACCAGAAAATCTAAATTTGCAACACTAAGGAAATAGAGTAAATAAATTAAGGTTTCCATAGGATAAGTTATCTAGCTGCTGAAAGCCAAATGATTTGTGAAGTATTGTTAATAACAGATAAAATGTTCCTAATATAATATTACAGGGGAAAAAAGTAGGATTTTAAATATGTATTCAGTATGACTCAAATGTACTATGTAAAAAATAAATACACATATACCAGAAACACATTCGCTGGCAAATATGGTAGTTAGGAGCATGGGTTTTGAAAATGAACCAATCTACTTCAAATCCCAGCTGTGCCACTTTCCAGCTATGTAACTTTGGGCAAGTTAGTTAACCTCTCTGTGTTCCATAATGCTTACTTGGAAAATGAGGATAATAACAGTACCTACTTACAGAGTGGAAATGACAATTAATTAACGCATGCAAACAGCTAAGCACCTGTTCTGGCACAATGCAAGCACTCGATAACTACTAGCATCATTAGCACAGAAAACCAAAAGAAAGAAGAACATCAAAATACTGTTGTTGTTGTTGTTGTTATATGTCGTCGAGTCGGCCCCGACTCATAGCAACCCCTCCTTGGATTTCCAAGGCAGTATCACTACGGAAGTAGGATTGCCCAACCTTCCTTCCGAGGAGTGGCTGGTGGGTTTGAACCGCCAGCCTTCTGGTTAGCAGTCAAGTGCCTTAGGCACTATGCTACCAGAGCTCCCATCAAAATACTAACAGGCGTCAAATCTGAGTAATAGAGTTCTAGTCTGTTTCATTTTCTCCTTCATACTCTTTTCATTTTTACAAATTTCCTAAATATGTACTATATAATCAGAAAGAAAAAAAATGCATTATGAAGAAGAACATTTGATTAATTGGCAGTATTTACTATGTGCAAGAGTGGATGAACGCAGGAAGGGGACAACATGTCAATCAGACAGTAGACAGTGCTGTTCACCCCCCTTTCCACCAAGTTCGGCTTTCTGCAGACCCTCCCCTCCCCTCCAGAAGCCACTACTCACGGGTGCAGTTCCTTGGAAGCCATCCTCTCCAGTGTTGCTCTCGGGAAACTCACCCTGCCAAATGTTGGCATAATGTTGACCTTTTGGCTGCAGTTTGTTTCCCCAGGGGAAAAGTCTGTCAGAAGAGACACAGTCAAACAGGCACAGGCCTCTGGATTAAAGTCAAAAGAAGGAACGCAATGAAAGGGAGAACACTGCTAGCTTGTTCTGAGTGAGTTATTTTTAATCTTAAAGATATAAATAAATAAAGATTTTAATGAGGATTTTTTTCCAAATTTCTGTATACCAGCTCATGTCAAGTTCACAACAACCTTAGTCTTAACCCAAGTACTCAGGAGGCCTGAAATCAATTGCATATTTAAAAGAAGGACTTACAGAAGTCTGGGAAAGTAGACATCATTGTGGACTTATACGGTAGCATGATCAGGCACCATCTCACCACACTTTTTTTTATAAAGCCTTCACTATTTTAAAGAGCCTTTCCTAGAAGATGTGACCCTCACAGGCATTTTCTGCCTCATAGCTCTAGAAGCAGAGAAAAAAGGCTGCTTCAGAAGATGCCTAAAATAAGAAAATGCTAAAAGCAAGGCAGCCTGCCAAGTAGCTCTAAGGAGTAATACGTAATAACAGGGAGTCGAGTCGCTCGAACTGGCTTTGGACTGAAGGAAGGCCCCCTTCACCAGATACTTGGCTCTAGGGAGCTGTGAAGGGCTGGTGATCCAGCTCTTCACAGCTGAGTCTCCTCAGGGTCTCCTAAGTAACTCTGTGGAGATGAAGAAAATCCAAAAACAAAATAGAAAGAAATTGTTAATTATGTCTTTTTAAATCAACACTCTAACCTAAATAAGTTCCACAGTTTTAAAAAAGTTTAACACATTGTTAGGTAAGATAAGACCTGCCAAGTACCTATTTTCCAGGCCTCCTCGACAGCTGTATTCCCATTCAGCTTCAGTGGGCAACCGCTTTCCTTCCCATGTACAGTAGGCAACCGCGTCATTCCAAGAGACATGGAGAACTGGATGATCTGGCCTGACGAAGAGTGAGAGCAGAGTAAAGAGAGGCGCAGACTGGGACCGGAAATAGAAATGGGTGTTGGCGAAGCTCCAATAAAATCATCCTCAATTCTATCCATGACACCTAGGTAGATCCCCTGAGCTAGAGCTCAATTCCCAGCCAGGCCACATCTCCACCAAGGGTTTCTGACAACACAGGCTTCTATGTTTATTGTAATTCCCTTTGGAACTAGACTCAAAACATTCCTTCACTTTACAGACTTGGATTCCCATAAAATTTCACTGAGTATGATGGACAAGGGAGCTCTTGTAGCATAATGGCTAAGGCACTTGACTGCTAACCAGGAGGCTGGCAGTTCAAACACACCAGCCACTCCTCGGAAGGAAGGTTGGGCAATCTACTTCCACAGTGATAACTGCCTCGGAAACCCAAGGAAGGGTCGCTATGAGTTGGATCCGACTCAACAGCACATAACAACCACAACAACAACATGGTGGACATGGAGCTGCACCACCCAAATCCCCTCCAGCCGCTGGGAATACTGTCAGCAGCAGTTTGCAGCTGTTGGTTCCTTCAGGGTTTCCCACAGCTACAGAGAATGACCCCTGAACCACCAACAACCAATCACAGCAGGGGCATAAAGGCCCTGCCATTTTGGCTCCTCAGAGGAAAACAGTGATGAGACATAAACACCCCAGAGCTCTCTATGGATGTGGCTGAAACTCTGTCAAGCCCACAAGGCAGTATGACTTCTCTCTGTACCCAATTCTACTTCCCATCTTTTCTACTAGGTGGTGGTGGTGGTTTTAGATGCTGCAAGTCAGTTTCGACTCACAGCAGTCCATGTGAGCGAAAAGAACAGCTTCATAAGGTTTCTTTGGCTGTAATCTTTACAGGAGAAAATCTTCAGGTCTTTTTCACATGGAGTGGCTGGGTGGGTTTGAACCACCAACCTTTTGGTAAACAACTGAGTGCTCAATTGTTGTACCAGCAAGGTAGATCCCTAATAAACATTCTGTGTGCCAAAATCTATCTCAGTGTCTGTTTTCAAAGAACCCAATCTGTGCCACCACAGATCAACAAGCTATATTTGCCTCACCCTAACAGATTCTACAACAGATTCTAGTCTTTTCTTTCTTGAAGTTATGAAGGGGTGGGAATTGTTGGAGGAAAATTTGAGGATAAAGGATACACACATTTAGCTAGCACTAAACCAAACCAAGGGAGCTCTGGTAGCATAGTGGCTAAGGCACTTGACTGCTAACCAGAAGGCTGGCGGTTCAAACCCACCAGCCACTCCTCGGAAGGAAGGTTGGGCAATCCTACTTCCGTAGTGATACTGCCTCAGAAGCCCAAGGAGGGGTCGCTATGAGTCGGGGCCAACTCGACGGCAAATAACAACAACAACAAACCAAACCAAGGGAGCTCTGGTAGCATAGTGGCTAAGGCACTTGACTGCTAACCAGAAGGCTGGCGGTTCAAACCCACCAGCCACTCCTCGGAAGGAAGGTTGGGCAATCCTACTTCCATAGTGATAACTGCCTTGGAAACTCAAGGAGGGGTCGCTATGAGTCGGGTCCGACTCCACGGCACATAACAACAACAACAAACCAAACCAAACCCACTGCCATAGAGTCCATTCCTACTCACAGTGGCCCTTAATGACAGAGTAGAAATGCTCCATAAGGTTTCTAAGACTGTAAATCTTTATGGAAGCAGACTGCCTCATCTTTCTCCCACAGAGAAGCTGGTAGGTTCAAACTGCTGACCTTCTGGTTAGCAACCCAATACTTTAACCAGCATTGTTGTTGTTGTTGTTTGCCATCGAGTCGGCCCCGACTCATAGTGACCCCTCCTTGGGTTTCCGAGGCAGTACCACTACGGAAGTAGGATTGCCCAACCTTCCTTCTGAGGAGTGGCTGGTGGGTTTGAACCACCAGCCTTCTGGTGAGCAGTCAAGTGCCTTAGGCACTATGCTACCAGAGCTCCTTTAACCACCATTAGATAACATTAAATTAGAGCACTGGTGGCGCAATGATTGAAGTGCTTGGCTGCAAACCAAAAGGTTGGTAGTTCGAAGCGACCAGCCACTCCTGGGATGAAGATGTGGCAGTCTGCTTCTGTAAGAGTACAGCCTCAGAAACCTTATGGGTCAGTTCTACTATGTTCTATAAGGTCACTATGAGTTGGAATTAACTCGATGGCCGCAAGTTTGGTTTGTATTTAGGTGACATTGATTTAATTCCTGGTTCATCTTTTTATTTTCCAAGTGGATGATACATTTCTACTCTGTTCCTTCCACATTTCTGTAATCTCCAGTGCAATTATATCAGGACTTTCATTTATTCTTTCAACAATTTTTTACTGAATCACTAGTATGTACTAGTCACTGCTCTCAGTACTGGTGAGATATACACTTTTCTCAGAAGAGTCACTGTTTACTGTAGGAATAAAACACATTCTACTCTAGGTTCTCCTTCTTCACTTAGCTTTTCCCTCTACTATTAAATTCAGGAAATAAGATATTGATTGGGCACTAAGAGACCTATTCAGCCTACAGTATCCAAGAATTTTATGAATCTGTCCCTCACAGTCTATTTCCAAAATCATCCACCACTTATCCTTATCCCCATAGTAGTTGTGGAGACTGCCAACTTAGGCTTTGGAAGATTTTGGACATTTGTTAAGAGGCTATATCTATATCCCCAAAGCTGAATGTCATACTTCCAGCTCCCTTTCCATGGGGACAATAACCAGAAATATTGTTAAAAATAGAGGCTCAAAAATCCCATTTGAAAAATTAGGTTAGGAGAGCAGTTTTCTTGGGTTGTTAAGTCCTCAACCCAAGCTTTTCTCATCTCCAGGGTTTCCAAAGCCACTCTATTTTTGCTTGAGATAATTATTTGCTTGCTACCCTGGAGATTTGCTGACCGACTTGCCGCTCTGTGGTTTTTCCATCAGATGGTGGCTAAAAGTGTGTCAGTCCAGGACTGAGGATAACATGAATCTGAAACTCAAGGACTAGGCTTCTGCAGTGGGTGCCTAGCAGGACACAGCTATTATCCATAAGAACAGCCTTCTTCCTCATAATGACCTGCTTATAAGAGACCAAGTGGCAGGCTCCAAATATCTCATGGATGAGATATGTAACAGGCTTGTCAAAGTCAGGGGGTAGTACTCAAAGGCAACTCAGACAAGTCAAATGAGGAAAGAAAGAGGTCAATTATTAAGAGCCTACTATGAACTAGGTACAGTGTTTGGGTTTTCATATACATTATTCCCCATCATTTACTTTCCCATCAACCAATTAGAGGTTGTCATTCTATGAAAACATACAGCCATTAAGTTCCTTTTCAATAACATAGGAACTGATTTTAGAATGAAATATGTACTGGGGAAAGAGCTACGTGCCTCACCTGTGTAGAATAGTAGAGTCTGGCCCTTCTGGGTGTCTCCAGTTAGCACTTTTAACAGGTAACCACCAAGGAGCAGCTGCCACCTCAAAGCAAACCAGAACATATGGAGTTAGCTACAAGGACTCAGGAAAAACAATGACTCAGTAAGTGTAGCAAAAATCTCACTGTCTGGTCTTCAATTCCCATTTGAGCTACTCAACAAATCCCCTCACTAGAATATCAAAAGTAAAGATTTATATGTACACAAAAAAGTTTATGTGTAAATAAATTTTCAACAAAAAGGTCTCTAAAAATTATTTCATACCATAAAAAAAACAAGAGTGATCAAATAAATATATATTGAAATTGTATAAATCTCCAAGAATTTGAAAAAGATACACTGCCTGATAAAGACTAGTGGAACCCCTGAGCCCAGAGATCTTAGACACTGTTTAAGCCTGGAATTGAACTCACTCCCATTGGTCAACTTATAGCTGACAAGAGACAGGCCTATAAGGGAACAGTAAATCCAGGGAGGAACACACTGCTTAGAACAATCAACTATACGAGATCAAAAGGGCAGTATTTTCCCAGAGATAAATCTCAGAAGGCAGGAAGGGATAGGAAAGAAGGATAAATGCAAACATGAAATATAGGAAGGAAGTGGGAAGAGTGCTATTACACTGTGGGGATTATGATCAATATCACGAAACAAAATGTGCATGAACTGTTGAATGAAAAACCAATTTGCTCTTTAAACTTCCACCCAAATCACAATAAAGTTACAAAAAAATAAAAAAGATACACTGCTAGTTAAAGAGCTCTGATGGTGTAGTGAGTAAGGCATTTGGCTGCTAACCAGAAGGTTGGCAGTTCAAACCCACCAACTGTTCCACAGGAAGATGAGGCAATCTACTTCTGTTAAGATTTACAGCCTTGGAAACCCAATGGGGGTAGCTGTGAGTCAGAATCTACTTGATGGCAATAGGTTTTTATACTGCTAGTTAATCCTCTGTATCTCTAACAAGTGAGAGATAGGTAGCATTGTTCCTATTCAGAAAACAGGAAATTGGAGCTAACCTTACGATTAAATCTAGGCTGTAGGTCAACCAAGGTGAATGGAGATCAGGCCAATGTACAGGATAAAATCCCAGGTGGGTGTTTTTAGAGGATTCTGGTTTATTGCCAGCGCCAACATTATCTATGTGGCCCTGTACACTTCACTTTAGAGTCCTTATTGGGGAAATGAGACCACATACTACCTGCCTCACCTCACTCAGACTACCAGAAAAACCAAATCACTGCTGTCCAGATTCCAAAGGTCAAATTAGATAAAATTTTTGAAAACTCTCAGCAAATTACTACTAGGACCTTAACTCCTACCTTACGATTCTGTTTACCAGAATAACAACAGCAAGTAGTCTTCTTTTAATGGATGGTCAACAGCATTGGCTTTGCAGCCAGTGAAAACTGGATTTGACCCCAGACATCTTCTTCAAACCAAGCAAAAATTAAGTTTAACTAGTAAAAAAAAGGTCTGCCTTGAGCATTATGCTCTTTTGAGAATGATCTACATAGAATCAAACTGACAATAACAACTCAAAACATTAGAGAGCAGCTGTAGGGGGCAGTGAGTTTATGTTAAAGAGGGAGGAACAAGTTAGAAAAGGAAGGTGAGAATGGTTATACAACTTGAAGAATGTGATCAGTGCCAGTTAACTGTACAAGCAGAAACTGCCGAACTGGTGTATGTTCTACTATGTATATTCAACACCAACAACAAAAATAAAATAAATTATAAATTTAAAAAAAATTATAAAAGCACAAAACAACTATATTTGAATCGTCCCTTTCCTGCTTACCCTGTGACCCTTGGCAGCTGATTTAACTTTCCCAAGCCTGATTGTTGATGAAGAAAATAACAATATCGACTTCATGAGTATTACAAGAAGGAAATATACATAAAGGACTTTGAATTATGTCAAACACTTAGGAAGAAGCACTCAATAAAGGGAACCAGTCTCAACCATGGCCTCACGACAATCAGTCACAAAGAAAGTGACTCAAACGAATAATTATCATCTTTGCTAATAACTCTGGAGTTAGAAGTTTACAAAGGATTCTTCTAATATAAACTAGAGCAGATTCAAGGTTATCCCCATGACAATGTTACCCTCAATCATTTGCATCCTGATGAGCTTGGGTAAGTAGAAGACAAGAGGGCTGGGATCCAGCTAATTATCACAGCAATCACTAAAGAGACCCAACTCCATTCTTGTTCTTCTTTTTTTCTGCATCAACACAATCAAAACATACAGAGCATCCCAATCACGATTTGATGGACGAAAGCAATTTTTTTTTTAATTCAACAAAAGAGGTATTATGCCCTTAAAAAACACTACTACAAGGTGTTTTATTTTACACAAAGCAGGAGCAATGAAAGGCAGGGCTTTTATTTTATTTTATTTGGGGTATTGCAGAAACTTTAATCTAGGGATGTTCTCATTAACTGGACTGTTGGATGTTTAGGTGCCAGTGACAGGTAATTCATTTGATGTCAAGAGAAGACATGCATAGAAAGCTCAGGTCATCCCACGTTCCTTTCAAGGAAATCTTCAGCTCAGTCACTCAACTCTACCCCTCCCACAACACTAATAAGATAGACTCCACCATCACCAGAAGGTTCTATGCTTCACACTGCCGTCAAGTTGAACCTGACTCATAGCAACCCCTCCTTGGGTTTCCAAGGCGGTATCACTATGGAAGTAGATTGCCCAACCTTCCTTCCGATGAGTGGCTGGTGGGTTTGAACCGCTAGCCTTCTGGTTAGCAGTCAAGTGCCTTAGGCATTACAAATATGGCAAAATGTTAGCCTTTATTGAATCTAAGTAGTAGAATCTAGGATGCTTTTTCTCTCACACTTTCTTTTTTTTTTTTCCTGTTTTGAACATAGGTGTTCTGGTAGTGTAGTGCCTAAGGCATTTGACTGCTAACCAGAAGGCTGGTGGTTTAAACCCACTGGCCACTCCTCAGAAGAAGACTGGGCAATCAATCTACTTCTGTAGAGACTCCGCCTTGGAAACCAAAGGAGAAGTCACTATGAATTGGGATCTACTCGACGGCAGTGAGTTTTTTTTTTTTGTTTTGTTTTGTTTTGATTTGTTTAGTTTTGTTTTGAACACCGCATCATTAACAATTAAAATCCTACTACTAACAGACTTTTGGGAAGTTTCCAATTTGGGGCTATGCTATGAACATTCTTAGGCATTTGTGGCCTCTGGAAACATATATATGCATTTCTATTGATTGTGTACCTTGGAGTCTCACAGATGGATCACAAGGTATATATGTGCTTAGTAAAAAACTAAATACCAAACTCACTGCCATCGAGTCGGATCCGACTCACAGAGACCCCTCCTTGGGTTTCCGAGGCTTAGTTAGAGAGAACCAAATGGAAGCCTCAATAGCACAAGTCCTCCAAGGCTACTTTGAGGTGTGGTATCATGCTGCAGTAAACAATTTGGCTTTTGGCCCTGCATCATGAGAGCTGGACCACACCTGAGGCCAAGGAATGGAGGCTGGCCAGACCAACAGGGGCCACCTAAAGGCCTGATGCTGAGGTAGGCTCAGGAGGCCTGATGTAATCTGTCATGATCATATGGCAAAGTCAATAAAGGTCTTAAAAGATAGACACTCAGTGGAGCTTCCAAGGTGGTGAGAGCAAACACTTGCTCTCGAGAGGTTAAGCATATCCCCTGGAGGCACAGAGATTCTGCCCAGAGATCCCTCCCTCCTGGACTTCATCCCATGTGTATGTGTTTTTCTTCTACATTAAAGATATCACTTTCCGTAGAATTTGTGGCTTATTACCTAAGGCATCTGATTGCCAACCAGAAGGTTGACAGTTCAAACCCACTGGCCACTCTGCAGAAGGAAGACTGGGCAATCTACTTCTGTAAAGATTTACCACCTCAGAAACCCAAAGGGGGTCACTATGAGTCGGAATCAACTCGATAGCAATGAGTTTGGTTTTGTTTTTCCAACAGATTATTGGCCCAAATAAATAATCCTAAGAAATAGAGAAGGGGCTGATACTGCTGACCCAACCTCAGATGAATGGGGACAGAAAAAGCAAATAACCATGGACCTAGCCCAGGGTAAAATAGGATGGGACAGACAAAGGTCTGAGCTGGCAGCTGGGGTCTGAACTGGCCAGGGAAGGGAAGCTGATTCCCACAGGATGCAGCTGGTGTATGGAGTGGGATTTATTATTGTGGTGGTTATGTTTGTGTGTCATCTTGGCTGGGCCTGGTTGAGTGGCTGTGCAGCTGGTGGTAGCTATTCCCCATGATGAGACTGGCAATCAACTCCATGGTGGGATCTACCACAAGCAGCTGAGTAGCTGCCTTTGGGTATGTGGTCTGCTTCCTGTATATAAGGAGAAGCCTTTGGGAATGGTCTCTAGCTTATGCACCTTGAACCTTGCATGTAGCTGTCATTGTTCAGCAGCCTGCCATGCTCTGCCGACCTTGGGACTTACAATAGACTTGAATTAATGGTCTGCCGTGTGATTTGGTAATATCAGGACTGTGCCTTGTTACTTGTCAACCTTGGGCTTGGCAAACTCAGCAGCCAGCAGTTGTCTGAATGAAGAAATGCCTCTAGCTTCAGTGGGCCAGGAGCTGGAAGCAGAGCTGAAGCCCAAGGCTGAGGGGCTTTCACCCAGCCCTTAGAGCCTGGCACTTTGAACTTGGACTTAAAGCCTCCAAACGGTAAGAATAAATTCCTGTTTGTTAAGGCCATCCCATTTGTGGTATGTTTCCTGTCAGAGTGGCACTAGGTAACCAGAACAATTATCCATCACAAATTTGGCATCAGGGGTGGATGATCTCAGCCTCCCTGCACTGGTTGAATATAGCTTCCTATTCCTTCAAAGGGGATCCTCCTGGAGTTGGCATAATTATAGAAAATCCTCAGGCAGCTGCCCATTCTCCTCTCCTCTTCTCAACTCTGTCTGGCTACAAATATTTATTGACTAAAGCATCTGACTGCTAACCAGAAGGTTGGCAGTTCAAAACCACCGGACACTCTGCAGAAGAAAGAC